GACCCTCGCGTCATGGGGTGAAACCCAAGACAGGGAAGATTACATGGATTGTCTCCTTCCTTGCCCCGGTAAAGGGCTTCTCACTCTTCAATGCCAGTGAGAGGGCCAGGCTGATTGAGAAAAGGCCTTTGGCAGTGAGACATAACCCAGGATGCCAGGGGTTCTGCCACCCACCAAAGTGTGCGCGACTGGCAAGATGCTCCAACTGCAGTGAGCCCACAAGCCAGCATGAGGGGCCAACAGGCGCGGAGTGCAAGAGAGCGCCAAGATGTGCCAACTGCTGCCAACCCTACCCAGCTGGGCATCAGCACTGCCCTGCCGCACCCAGGCGTGTGAATGGCACCCTCAGGCGCCTAACTCAAAAAGAGCTAGCAGCTGTTCGCCGCCTTGGCGACAGGTGCCACAGGGATGCTCAGGAGCAGCCAGCACCAATGGTCGCAGTGGTGGTGCCTACACCAACCGCTCAGTCAACCCAGTCAACACAGCCCGCTGGGCTAGCACCCCGCAAGCGGGCGGCTACTCAGAGTTCCATCAGTGAGGAGGGTGCCACCTGGCAGATGGCCCGCACCAGGCGACGCTCAGCTCGCACAGCAGTGCGGCAGCACAGCCAAGCAGCTAAAGAACAGTCTGACTCCAGCATGCAGATGGCAGGTCTGGAGGTCTTCAACCTCATCCCGCAGGTGGACTTCGGCAGCAGCTCACCAAGTGACTCCTCATGCTAGGACACCAACACCAGCGACGCGGCTGGCGCCGCAGGAACAACCAGCAGGAAAATCGCCCCCTGCAGGTCTTCTGGGCAAATACGGCCAGGGCAGCCCCCTGTCACACAGCAGCTCTGCAGCTTGCTTTCGAGCAGGGCTGTGAAGTGGTCTGTATACAGGAGCCATACACACACCCTGGCACCAAGACTTCTAACCACCCAGCGTATGAGTGCTTTGCGCCTATAGACCGCTGGGATGACACTAACCCGGAGCAGCGAGAGGAGGAGAGGCCCCGGGTCATGACATATGTACGCAAGGGCTCAAAGACAAGGGCACAGCAACACCGGTCTGTGCAAAGCAGGGATCTGCTATGGGTCAGTGTAAATGGCTGCCACATTCTCAATGTGTACAGACAGCCTGAGACAGACGCAGTCATGGACTATCTGACCAATCTGAGCCCACCAGCCCGCTGTCTGATAGGTGGGGATATCAACGTACGGCATGATGCCTTTGAACCAGGGGCAGTGAATCTGCACCGGGGCGGGGAGCTTGTCCAATGGGCCAGTGAACATGGGATGGACTTTGTGGGAGAGATAGGGGTTCCGACTCATGCAGCAGGTCATGTGATTGATCTCACCTTCTCCAATGTGGCCTTTGCTTCCACTACAGTGCGTCAAGATCTACACTGCGGCTCAGATCACCAGTCTATGATCACTATGCTGCCAACAACACCTCAAACACAGCTGAGTGATGCTCGGATCAAGATCACAGACTCTCAGCTGGAGCCCTTTGCAGATCTTGTCAGAGGTCTCATGGTGGACATGCCTTGCCCAGAGGGGGTTGGAAATGTGGCACAGCTTGATGATCTGGCCCAGCACTTCACTCAGAGTCTTCTGGCTGCAGCTCAGGCAGTCAGTAAGCCAGCTCAACAAGGGCGGACCACAGCCCCCTGGTGGACAGCAGACTGCCGAAGAGCGCACCGAGAGCTCACCACTCACCAGACAGAGGCCGCGAAGCACCAGTTCAAGGATGCAGTGCGCAAGGCCAAGCGTGCATACTGGAGGCAGGTGATCAATGAGGCCAGAGATGGTAGAGACCTGTACCGGGTGGTGGCATGGCATAAGCTGGAACCCAACCTCAGAGCACCCCCTCTGGTGATTGGGGATCAGGTCATAGAAGAGACAGCCGCCAAAGCTGAGGCACTTCAACAAGCAATTCTGAAGCGATACAACTCAGCTGATGATCTGGAGTATGACCCACTGGATGATGAGCACTGGAGCGGCATGGGGAACCTGCCCTGGAACCCCCGGGTTGGGATGGAGGAGGTGGAGCGCAACACCATTGGGGTACAGAGCACCTCCCCAGGCACGGATGGAATCACAGTGCGGATGCTCAAAGCATGCTGGCAGCATGTGTCCCTCTTTATACAGCAGCTATACAACTGCTGCCTCCGGCTCTGCCACTTCCCACGAGCCTGGAAACTGGCAGAGGTGGCAATGATACCCAAGGTGGGTAAGAGAGATAGAAGCTCAGTCCGCTCCTGGAGGCCCATTGCCCTGCTTTCAGTAATCTCCAAAGGGCTGGAACGCATCATTGCAAGGCGACTGGCCTACACGGCACTCATTCACGGCATAGTCAGCCCACAGCATGGGGGGGCGCTGCCCAGACGATCTGCAATGGACCTGGTAGCTGCTTTCACTCATGAGGTGGAGGCAGCCTTCGCACAAAACAAAGAAGTGTCCATGGTCACAATGGATGTGCAGGGTGCCTTTGATGCTGTGCTGCGCAGGCGGCTGCTTCAGCGGATGGCGCAGCAGGGGTGGCCACGCGAGCTGCTGCAGCTCATTGACAGTTTCCTCACTGAACGCAGAGCTCAGGTCCGGCTGGAGGGGACCACCACAGCAGCACATCAGATGCAATGTGGCACGCCACAGGGGTCTCCTTTGTCACCAATACTGTTCCTTCTGTACCTGGCAGAGCTGCTGTGGCAAAACTCGGAGTTGCGCTTTGGCTATGCGGATGATCTGAACATCTGGCGGGCGACCCACTCACTTGACAACAATGCCACCCTTCTCAGACAGGATATACAGAGTATTCTGAGGTGGGGGGAGATAAACAAGGTGGCCTTCGCACCAGAGAAACTTGAGATGATCCATCTTACAAGAAAAGCGACACAATGAGGCACCAGCAGTAGTTGTGTCTGAGGACCTCACTGTTCACCCTGTTACTGCCCCAGCTGGACAGGAGCCAGCACTTCGCTGGCTGGGTGTACACTTCGACAGAAGGCTCATCTGGAGACCACATGTCTCCACCCGGGCAAAGAAGGCAAGGGCCGTGGCCCAGCACATCCGGAGTCTGGGAAAGACCAGAGACGGGCCCCCAGCAGACGCTCTGCGGAAGGCGGTCACCACCTGCGTGGTTCCCTCACTGCTCTATGGCACAGAGGCCTGGTACGGCGGCCGCACGCAGCCAGCAAGGCACACGGGCAGGAGTGGGGAGGTTAGCTCCCGCCTGGGATGGCATGTGGGGACAGTTGAGAAGGTGCTTACTATGGCAGCCAGAGGGGTCCTCCCAGTTTTCCGTACAACGCCCATCGCTACCCTATACCGGGATGCTGGGCTCCCATCAGCAATGGTAGCTCTGGAGGAGGCCAAAATTCGATTCGCGACAAGGCTTCAGGTGGTGGATGAGAAGCACCCACTGGCTTCACGGATAGCACCTCCAATGATCACACGAGGAAGAGGGGCTGGAACCCGGCAGCGCTCAAAGACCAAGATCCAGCGGTTGGGGGCGCTGCTACCTGCAGTCAATAGACCCACACTTGCCATCCCACACTACTCAGAGGGATGCGGGACAGACCCCACAGAGGGTGTAGACAAAAAGAGTGCTACTCAGGCATTCAAGAAATGGTGGAGAAGTCAACCCTCAACAGATCTATATGTTTTCTCAGATGGATCAGAACGGAACCTTGACAACAGCAGGCAGGTGGGCTATGGCTTCATAGTCTATCAGGGAAATAAACAGCTGGCCAGCTTCTCAGCTGCGCTGAGCCCTATGTCACATGTCTTCGACGCTGAGGCAGTTGGTGCCTGCCGGGCATTGGAGTGCGCCGTGAAGCTCCTACCTTGTGTCACAGAGGACAGCAGCAACCCTCAGATCTGGCTCTGCCTCGACAACACCTCAGTCATCTGGGGCATACGGGGCAGTGCAGCAGCCTCCTCAAACTGGGCCTACAACCGCTGCCATGAGCTCCTCAGACAGCACAATGTTGGCCTGAAGTGGGCTCCTGGGCATATGGGGATAGAGGGCAATGAGGAAGCAGACCGCTTGGCTAAGCGGGCAGTCTCATCCACTGCAGCCCCAGCCTATGGTCTCGAGGCCACACCCACAGTCAGTGGGATCCGCACAGTGGCCAAGCAGCTCAGCCAAGAGGCAAGGCGAAAGTGGTGGAGTGGAGCCTGTGGCAAGCTCTCTGACTGGTACCGGGGCTGGAGTTTCAGCAGGCCGACTGTGGAATACCAAGTGAAGGCCCCTCCGGAGCTCACCATGCCACGGCATGCCCTTCACCGCTGGCTCGCACTCCGCTCCTCTCATGGGGACTTCTCCTGGTACCACAGGCGTTTCCAGCATGCAGATGCGAGGCTCACCTGTGTCTGTGGACACAACAAGAGCCCAGAACATTTGGTGCTCTGTCGACACTCACAGAGGCACTTTCTTCACTGGCCCAAGAGGCCAGCAGCACGGCCACACAACCGGGCGACAGCTGTTGCCTATCTAGGGTCTCTGACCCCTACAGACTTTGTAGAACTGCTGGACTGCACGCAGTTCTACACACGGTACTGCACAAGGTAACGCAGCCGGCTGGCTGCAAACCATCTGACAACCCCGCAGCAGTTCCACGAGGCCGGCCTGCTGAGTACACCCACGGTAGCTAGTGCAACTGCCAGGGACATCACAGTCTATGCAGACAGTACAGATAGCACAACTAGGCTCATCTGTCTCAATTGGCTGTGGTGTAATCAGTACAGCCTACGTATCTGACTCAGCTGATATGGTTTTGACTGCCGGCATTGTATCTACGCGTGCTCTGCTTTGTTTTCCTCTCGTTTGCCCTTGTCTCTATCGGCTCAAATGCTTCTTCTTCCTTCTTTTCTTTGCTCTCTCTGTCATTCTCTGCTCTTTTCCTGTCATAACCTTCTTCAGTGCTCTCTCCTTCATTATTTATCTTGTCTGTCTTTCTTCTGATGTTAGAAGCACAGACAGCTTTTCTGATCAA